GGTTGAGAGTCCGCCTGCCGATGCAGGGGACACGTGTTCGTGCCCTGGTCAGGGAAGATCCCACATGCCACGGAGCGGCTGGGCCCGTGAGCCATGGCCACTGAGCCTGCACGTCCGGAGCCTGTGCTCCGCAACGGGAGAGGCCACAGCAGTGAGAGGCCCGCGTACCGCAAAACAAACAAACAAAAAAAATAAATAAATAAAATAAAATAAAATGTAAAAGTGACCACGACACTCCCTGACTTAAACCCTTTCAGTGACATTTTGTTACATTCCAGGTAAGGTCCATACACTCCACATTGCATCCAAGGGCCTCCACACAAACATACTGGGTTAGAGCCCCTCACAACCACCTACTCTTCTTTCTTACCTCTACACTGTTTCTATCCTTGCTAGAAAGTTCCCATCATCTCCAATCTAATTCACTGCCTTGAAGACGCACTCCCTCCCCACTCCCACCGTCAACAGTCTTGCCTGGTATCACAGATACCTACCAACTGTTCCTCTATCTGATCAAGATTCTGAGCTCCCTGGGAATTCCCTGGTGGCCCAGTGGTTAGGAATCCGCACTTTCACTGCCAGGGCCCTGGGTTCGATCCCTGGTGGGGGAACTAAGATCCCATAAGCCGCATGGCACGGCCACAAAAAAAATCCATAAGATTCTGAGCTCCTTGTTTAGGGGGGGCCTGTCCTATTGGGGGGCCTAACAATGGTGATTGGAAGGTCCAGGCCCACCCAGCTGTGATTTAGGGGGTTGATCCTTCATTCTCAGGGACACTGCAGCTGCCCTTGAGACTGAGAAAAAGGAGAAAAGAGATTCCTTGGTTGGCTCCCAACCAATCTCCCTTCTTTCCCCGAACCTCCTCCGGGTCAGCCAGAAGTGGCAGGGAACAAATTCTCCGTTCTTCATCCCCTAACCCTCAATTTCACGCCCCCTCATGATCCTGCTTCATCCCTGCTCTGCCCAAATGGTCACTGTCACAAACAGTGACCTTTAGGAGTGGGGGACGGGAGTCCTGGAAGGAAGGGACTGGAGCAAGACAGTGTCTGCTGGAGGCAAAGCAGGCAGCCCAGCCAGAGTGAGCTGGATGCATTTGGGGTGTCCTGCCCCCCAAGTCTTCCTTTATTCCCGCCTTCCCCCATAGACCACTGTCACCTGGGAAGAGGAGTAGCTGGTATGTGTAGAGAAAGGGGAGGTCCCTGACCAGGCCTGGAGACA